CACAGCTAATAGGCAATGAGGCAGGACTTGAACCTGGGCTTCCTGATACTGGGTCCTTAACCACCATGTTATGTTGGATTCTCAGCATTCAGCCTAGTACTTGGCACATACTTGATGGCTAATACGTGTTCTCATGAATGAATGAATGCATAAATACATGAATCAAGACAGTGCTCCCCATTCACCTCTCCAGATGGGATTAATTTAGAGATTTTCTTGGTTGATTTTTTTGGGAGGAGGAGAGCATGGGGTGGCAGGCTTGTGGGCAAAAGTGAAAGCCCCAACTGCAAACTGGCTCTGCCTCCTGCCAGGTACGAGTGGTTTCGGGAGCTGGGCCTGAAGTGGTACGCCCTGCCTGCAGTGGCCAACATGCTGCTCGAGGTGGGCGGCCTCGAGTTCCCAGGATGCCCTTTCAATGGCTGGTACATGGGCACGGAGATTGGGGTCCGGGACTTCTGCGACGTCCAGCGCTACAACATCCTGGAGGTAACGAGGGCGGCCCAGCTGAGCCAGCTGGAGGTGTGGGCTTAGGGGCAGGTTGCAAGGACTGACTGAGCCCCATTGCTCCGCCTCTGCAGGAGGTCGGCAGAAGGATGGGCCTGGAAACACACATACTGGCCTCCCTCTGGAAGGACCGGGCTGTCGTTGAGATCAACGTCGCCGTGCTCCACAGTTTCCAGGTATGTCTGAGGTTTTGTGAGTTTGAAGACTTTGTGGTTAGAAGGGCATAGTTCTGATTTTCTACATGCATGTACATTTAGTGTTGTTTTTGTTCAGGACTGTATGTGGAGTAGGAAGTTCTGCAGTTTTTCAGGCCCAGGGCTCCCATGGCCCACCAGCCGACTTTTACACCACACTTGGTCTGGAGCAGAGAAACAAACCGAAAGTCTCTCCTTCCACAGTTGCCTTTGCTCCTCATATAAATAAGCGTCTTACAAATGGAAAGCGTCTTACAAATGTGCCATATGAGAAGCATTTACAGATCAGATCACACTGCCCCTCCCTCTTTTTGATTGGCACATGATTAGACAATAACTGATTTTTCCATGGTATCCTTAATTTGAGCCTGGTGGCACAGTGGTTAAGCAGTTGCTGCTAACTGAAGGTGGGCAGTTCAAATCCACCCCGTGGCTCTGAGGGAGAGAGACCTGGTCGTCTGCTTCTGCAAAGATGACAGCCAAGAAAAGCCTGCGGGGAAGTTCTACTCTGCACAGGTGGGGTCGCTGTGAGTCGGAACTGACTCGATGGCACCCAACAACATCCTTAATTCAAAAATACTTTAATATTATGATGCCTTTTTAATCTGTTTCCATGAACAATTTGAGATCACCTTCAGAAAATGCATATACAATAAACTAATGACATTTAAGTGAGAATTAAAATACAATCAATACCACTAAACACACAAATCAAAGTAGAAAGACAGGAGCAAGAGAATTACAAATAGAATACATAAACGCCGATCACATGGTTCCACACAGTCATATTGGTTAGGCTGTAAATTTGATTTTGAGCTTCCTGGTGGCCAGAGTGAAAAGGAGATCATAGTTAATTATGTGGTTCTTACTGTCTATACGGGATGAACAAAGACAGTTACTTAGAGGAATCAGAGTGTTACCTAGTCCTTTACTCTAAAATGAAACGTGTCATACGAGCTTCATATAAGGAACGCCGAGAGATGCCACAGGTGGTAAACACTGGGCTGTGGACCCCGTGGCAGGCAGTTTGGGTTTTTTTCCTTGGAAGCAAAAATGTGTGGGCTTTGGAGCCAGACAGACCTGATTTTGAATATCAGCTATCGTAACTCTGGCAAGTTAGGTGGTTTCCGTGAGCTCAGTTTCCTCAGCTGTAAAATGGAGCTGATAGTGATGCAAGGGACCTCTGGTTTAGCAGAGACTTGATTGTCCATCACAAGGCAAAGCTCCAGGAGCCCTGGGCATTTCCAGAGTAGGCTTTTCACACACACTTACTCACACATGCAAACACAGCTTAGATTTCCTTGCTGAGTCACCCTGACCAGACTCAGCAAATGAATTCCTCCCAATGAAGAAGCTCCTGGAGACATTTAACTATCGTGGCTGTAACCAGCAGCCAACTGAGCTAAATGTGTTTCAGAGACGTTAGAGATGCTTTAAGGTCCCTGCGTGGTACAAATAGTTTGCACTCCACTGCTAACCTAAAGGTTGGCAGTTCGAACCGACCCAGTGGCAGGTGCCACAGAAGAGCCTGGCAATCTGCTTCTGTAAAGATTACAGGCAAGAAAACCCTATGGAGTTCTACTCTGACACACATGGGGTCCCCATGAGTTGGAATTGGCTTGCTGGCAATGGGTTTAGAGATTCTTTCAGCACATGCTCCCCATGCTGGGGCGACAGACTGCCAGTGAAGAAGGTGACAAGCTAGTGGGCGAGGGGAGAGCCTGCCAGGCCTGCTCCCCAGGCTGGAGGGATGGGAGTTGAGGACGGCCTGCAAGAAGAAGCTCAGACAGTTCAGGAAGAGCCCCCTGGGGCTGGCCTGACTCAGGAAGGGCTGGCCATGGACCACACATCCTGACTCCCGGGGACTCCCATTACCAGCCCTGACACTGTCAGGATGCGGATGTGTCCCAGATAACTCCTCTGATCCTCAGCTGCCCCCTGACCATCACTGCCATGCCCCTCCCCTGCTTGAGAGTCTCCAGAACTTCCTTGTCACCTGCCTTCAGGATAAACTTCAAAAGACTTGGCCTTGTTGCCTCATCTGTAAAATGGTGATGACAATAGTACCTCCCTTGTTATTTAATTAATTATTGTATGAATTAATGAAAAGCCATGCAAAAGGTTTAGCTACACTGCCTGGCCCATAGAGAACACTCAGTAAGCATTGGTTATCTATGTTATTATTATTTATTATGGCTGTCATTGTTATTAGAGCCACTGTCATCAGGTCCTGACTTCATACTGGTCTGGCACCCTGGGGGTGCTATATGTGTATACAAAACAAATGGAAGTGGAAGGTCAATTTCAAAAAGGCCTGGACACACTGGGTGCTTGGTCAGCTGGTTCTCTTGTGCTCCTTGACTTTGACTTGTACAGTTTCCTCGTCCAGGAGTGCCCTTGCCCTTCCCACAGGGCTCATTTTAGAAGCTTTCCCTGAAGTCTCTCATCTTTCCCATCACTTCCATCCTCTGCCCTCCATCGGCATCCACCGGCTGATGCAGTAACAGCCAACTTTCTCCTGCTTCTCCCGTGGTTGTTGCTAGCAGCACTCAAGCCAGCCTCTGACTCATGGCGACCCCATGCATAAGAGAACGAAGTGCTGCCCAGGCCTGTGCCAGCCCTATGACTGGTTGCACATTGGACTGTTGTGATTCATAGGCTTTTCCTTGCCTGATTTTCAGAAGTCAGTTGCCAGGCCTTTCTTCCTAGGCTATCTTAGTCTGGAAGCTCTGCTGAAACGTCATAGCTGCATGCGAACCTCCATTGATGGGGTGGCTGGGCATAGGGGCACTGGCTGGGGATTGAACTCAAGTCTCTCACATAGAAGGTGAGGATTCTACCAGTGAACCAATGCCCCCCTCTGCTTCGCCTCATCAGACTGAAATCTGCTGTGTCTTTTCCCTCTATATACCAGTGCCTTAGGCAGTGCCTGGCAGACAGAAATAACAACAGCAGCTCACATTTACTGAGCACTTCCTCTGCTTTACTTGTATTAACTACTACCTCCTTTCAATAACCTCAGGAGGCAGGAACTGGTAATATCCCCATTTTACAGTTAAGGAAACAAAGGCTTAGTTACAAACTCAGAGTCACACTGCTTATAAGAGGCCAAGGCTCTAGGGCCTGAACCACTATGTTAATCAAATATCTTTTGTTTGAATGAGTTGCCCCAGACACTGGGGAGAGCATTGCTGGGACAGTCGGATCAGGTTCACCCTCCGCAGCTTCTAATTACAGGATGTGGGACTTCGGGGCGATTTGTCTTCCATACATTACCTTCCCCCCGTGCTTCAGATCCCCCCACAGAGGCGTGCAGTCCCTTGTCAGCAGGGAGGGCTTCAACTCTGAGGAAGTAACTCCTGGAACTTCCTATGACAAATGGCTGGGATGATCTTTTCTTTACCTGGCAAAGGGTCCTGCGTTTTGAATGATCAGCATCCAGAGAGAGTCATTTGTTAGAAGTTTAGGGAGACCTGTAGGCATGACCTGAGATGCTGGATACTGCCCTTAGAGGGCCAAGGGGAGGCAAACTCACTGGATCCTAACTATGATGCTACCAGGTGACCTATGGGCTGACCGTGGCCAGAGTGTTTCTAGGGCTCCTTCAGAGGCCCTGGAAATGCCTTTCCATGTGCGTTCTTATGCTGAGCAGGCAAAGAGGGAGCCAGGAAGAACTTTCTCCTTCATAGTAAAGAAGGCCAGGCTTTCCCACACACCACCTCGGACAAGGCCTGTGGCTCCTGGCTGCTCTCCTGTTTCCTCTGCCCCTCGCCTCAACTCCCCTTCTTGCCCTCCTCTGACTTAGAAGCAAAATGTGACCATCATGGACCACCACTCAGCTGCAGAGTCCTTCATGAAGTACATGCAGAATGAATACCGGTCCCGGGGGGGCTGCCCGGCTGACTGGATTTGGCTGGTCCCCCCGATGTCTGGGAGCATCACCCCTGTGTTTCACCAGGAGATGTTAAACTATATCCTGTCCCCTTTCTACTATTATCAGGTAAGGGAGAGGTCTTCCTTTCCTTTTCTTGTAGATGTGTGAGTGTACACATGTGTGTGCCCATGTAGGTGCATGCGTGCACATATGTGTGTGAGTGTACATATGTGCATGCATGTGTGTTTGTGCGTGTGTGCTCACCCTTGTCTTTACCTGTAGAAAAAGAGGGAGCTGTGAGGCAGGGTGGAAGGAGGATCAGGGAACAGGGGGATATATTTTTAATGTTTCTCAGGCTTCATTCAAGGACAATGAGCAAATCTGCCTGTATCCACAGAGGGTGGGACTCAAGGAAATGCCTTTTGTAGTATATTTAATGATCTGTTGCTCTAACTGGCTTTAAGCTCCCAAGGGTGCCCCCCTATGGCACCTGCTTCCGTGGGAGGGGCCAGTAAACAGTCACGTAGCATCATGGGGAAGAGGTTGGCCCCTGAGTCAGATGCGCCTGGGTTTGATGCTGCCGCACCTCACTGTATGACCTCAGGCAGGGATTTCACGTCTGAGCCCTGGTTTTCTCATCTCTGCAAGGGATGGGAATTAAACCCCACGCGAGGAGGTTGTGTAGCTCTCACGAGCTGGAACATAACAGCTTAACCCAGTGCCCAACCCAGAAAGCACTCCATAACGTTAGCTATTGAAAGGAGTTCATTTTTTGTCACAAAAGATTTTGGTTAGATTTTTGGAAGAGTTTTGTTATTCTCAAGATGATAAGTAAGGAGACTGTGTATCCTGGCTTGCCTGGGACAGTTTATCCTGTTTTAATAGCACTTTTTTGACTCTCAGGTGCCCTGGTGTGGATGATACATTATGTAGTCTTCTAGTGAACACCAGTTACTGTGGAGTTGATTTCGACTCGTGGAGACCCCATATGTATCTGAGTAGAACTGTGACCCACAGGGTTTTTAGTGGCTGATTTTTCTTCTGAGGCACCTGTGGGTTAGCAGCTGAGGGCATTAATGGTTTATAACACCCAGTGATAAGACACTGAAACAGAAGAGAAATGGGGCCTCTTCCTTCCAAGAGAACATTAATGACAATAAGAACCCCTGACCACCCTCATGCACCTGGCTTTATGCCAAACACTGGGGATGCAATTCTGAGGGAGACAGAGTTGCATCCTCCCTTGGAGCTTTCAGTGAGGTGACAAGGGGTGGGGAGAGGGCCTGCGCCCCCTCCCAACCTATGAAGGGGCCCCTGGTGCTCCAGCATCCCCAACCCAAGCTGAGCCTGGCAAACCTCTGCCAGGACACCACACTGCCTCACAGCTCCCTCCTTCCCATAGGTGGAGGCCTGGAAAACCCACATCTGGCAGGATGAGAAGCGGAGGCCCAGGGGAAGAGAGATTCAATTCAAAGTCTTAGCCAAGTAAGCGTGAGCAGTGAGCATTTATGTCTGAAATATGACCCTTCCTTCTAGTCAGTCTCTGTCTGTAGGCCTTGAAGAGCAGGGACCCAAGAGAAAGGATGTTCATTGTAGAGTTTGGCTTTGAGAGGTCTGGACGCCAATTCCAAGTGTCGCCAGCCCCCATTGCCCAGCCATCTCTCTCCTCCACTTTTCCAAAGAGTCTGAGGAGTGGGCTGAGTAGTGTGGGGAGGGGAAGGGCGATTAGTCAGGGTGGATAGCTGGAGAGAAACTGGGTTGCTTTTCCCTCAACTGGCCACCCTTTGAACCCCGTCTTCCTGTTCTCCTGGGCCCCCGTATTCTTCTGGAAATCTCTCTCAGCACAGGTGTCTCTCTGTCTGTCCCTGTAGAGTCGTGCTCTTTGCCTCTGTGCTGATGCACAAAGCCATGGCGTCGCGAGTCAAAGTCACAATCCTCTTTGCAACGGAGACGGGAAAGTCAGAAACGCTGGCACGGGACCTGGGGTCCTTGTTCAGCTGTGCCTTCAACCCCCAGGTACCTGGCTCAGCCAGATGGGTGTCATTTTCTCTGCCTCTGTGCAGAGATGCTGGGAAACTATGAGCTAGGAAAATTAAGATGTTTTTTCTAGTCCTGGATGGCTCAGAGACTTGAGTGTGATGACACACATTATGAATCTCAGTGGAAGGAAAGAGTTGTCTGCAGGGATCCCCACACTTGAATGAATGCACTAAATAATGGTTTCTGTGGTATTGAGAAACACTGTCCTAACCCATCTAAGCTTCAACATGAGTTGTTCCAGATGACTCTTATTCATTTTTATTGGACCCGTTTTATACTGGGTTGGGTACTAAATGTGAAGGGAGCCAAAGATGAGTAAGATGCAGACAAATGGCGGGGGTGGAGTACACACAACAGGGAAACTAATCCGTGTTCCTTGGGATAATTACCACATGCTAGGCCAGTGCTGGGCTCCGAGGGCATGACTGTGAGTGGCACCGAGCCAGGCCTCAGCCCAGGACGAGGCAGCACTAGGAGCTCTGCCTTACATACCACACTGCCTCCTCCCAGTAGTGCTGCCAGGCGGCGCATGGTCCTAGTAGCTGTTACTCTGCAGATGAAGAACCTGTGTGTCTTATGTGAAGTGGTTTTTCCAGGGTCGCATAGCTTCTGGGGGATAGATGTGACTTTAATGATTTGGGGGACATGGCATGGGCCAGTGTAGTGTTGGACAAGATGAGGTATGATCTGTGCTAGCTGGAGAGGAGGCCCAGGTGGAAGGGTTAGGAATGATTAATAGCAAGGTTAGGAGTTCCTGGATGGCAAAAATGGTTAAGTGTTTGGCTCCTAGCTGAAGGGTTGGCAGTTCGAACCCACCCAGAGGCTCCTCAGAAGACAGGCCTGGTGATCTGCTTCTGAGAGGTCACAGCCTGGAGAAGCCGCTGGAGCACAGTTCACTCTGCACACATGGGGTCACCATGAGTTGGAATTGACTCAGCAGCTACTAACAACAACACAAAGTTAGTGAGGTCGCTGAACAGACCTCTTGATGCCACATCTACCTAATGACTCCCGGGGTCCTGAACATGCAGTGAAATGTGATCTTCACCTAGATTACCTCAAGGCAAAGCATTGGGTTCCAGAGGCACCGGGGGAGTCATCATTTTTGCTGCCTGCTGAGACAATTTTGTAGATCATATGTCCACAGATTGGGAATTTAAAATCGCAATGGAAGTGGCGAGGGT